CTGTATAAGAGGTAAATCCATTGCCGTTGTCGCTGTCATAAGGCGGATCCACAAAAAGAAAGTCATTTTTTTGGATTAAAGACAAAAGTTCTTGGTAATTTTTGTTATGAATTTCTGCTTGGTTATTACTTAGATACTGACTAATTGCGAGAAGATTTTTCTTATCAAATAATTTCACTTTTTCTTTTTTGCCAAAAGGGACATTAAATTGGCCTTGGCTATTTACGCGATATAAACCATTATAACCCGCTTTATTGAGATAAATGAAACGAGCAGTGATTTTCGGGTTAGATAAATTTTCCTTGTCCTTTTTTCTTAATTGCTCGTAAAACCCTGGACCATGTTTTTTTTCATATTCTTGTAATAATTTAATTATTTCTTGCGGATTTTCCTTGATTACTTGATAAGAAATAATGAGTTCTTGGTTGAGATCATTAATGATTAATTGCTTTGGTTGAAGGTCTAAAAACACTGCCTCACCACCCACAAAAGGTTCAATTAAGCGACTATGGTTGCTAGGAGTCAAAAGATTAATTGTTTCTAAAAACTGTGTTTTGCCGCCCGCTCATTTGACGAAGGGTTTTAAATTTAGGTCCATATTTTTCAAATTTGTTTTTGGAGTAGCAGAAGAAAAATTTTGGCTTATTTGGGGAGGCAAAAGAACGGTTGATTTTAGTTTTGGTAATGAACCAAGAGCAGCCTGTGAAGAAGGAGAAAAAGCAAAAGGAACGATTAATTTTAAGAATTTGTTCATATGTTGTTTTTTTTCTTTATTTTAGCCTTTTTAATTTTAGTAAACGGGTATTGTTGACATAGCATTTTTCTACTTCCGCAAAACTCTTGACTAACTCGTTTATTTTCTGGCTCCTCATTTTATTTAGTTTCTTGATGGCTAATTGTAGAGAAATTGTCTATAATTTTCCTATAATGATCAGCATAAGATCAATCTTCTTGTTCAAAAACATCTTCTATGGTAAAACCATTTTTGGCTACCGCCGAGTAATCTGCTCCATTTTCTAGCAGTCATTTTATAATTTCTCAATTTTCTTTCTCTTTTTTGTTAATTATTCCGGAAGCAGCACTATGAAGCACCGACCAATCATATTTATTCTTGGCATTAATGTCATTGATGTCAACTTCTGGGCCAACTACTAACTTCAACAATTCTAAATTGTTTTGCTCGGCAGCAAAATGTAGAGGAGAGTTGCCTGACGAATCTCGAGCCTTGGGATTGGCTCCCTTTCCAAGAAGTTTTTTAGCAATCTCTTTATGATTATTACTTATTGCTGCGTGCAAAGGAGTAAGTTTATTTTTTTCTTCAGAATTGACTTCTGCTCCATTCTCAAGCAGAATATCTATAATTTCTAAATAACCATTTTGTGATGCATAATGCAAAGCTGTATTTCCATATTCATCACAAGTATTTGTGCCTAATTTTCTTTCTTCAATAAGTTTTCTAATTGACTCAACGTCATTCTTTTCTATAGCTTCTCAGTATTCTTGAGAATAACCTCCACTTTTTTTATCTTCAGCAGAAAAAATTTCTTCTTCTGTGCTGTGAGTAAATATCACTTCTACTCCTAATTCACTTTTTAACTTAAAATTTATCGGATAGTCAATCAACTTTATTTTTTTTAAATTTGTAAAGTCGTTTAGGTCTAGGGAACCTTCTAAATCTCGGTTATTAATGTTTAAAAATGTTATTTCTTTTCTCTTTTCTAGAGGGTACTTTTCGTCCAATCATTCCTGTGCATTTACCATGATGTAAATATTTTAATGAAATTTAATTTTGAAATCATTTTATAGATTTATTATAAAATTATGATGTGAAGGCTAGAAAAATATAAAAAGTAATAAAATGAGATTTGTTCCTAATCAGTTAAAAATAATTTTTAATTTTTCCTGCCATTATTGATTGACCATTTCGTGGCCCAGTTGCCTTTTGAAAGCAGAACGGCAAAGGTCGAAGAACTCTTCATCATTATTTGGTAAAATGAAATGAGTTGAAAGGTATGTAATAATTTATAATTACCACCTATATTCTTTAAAACATATAAAACAATAAATATAGATGTGTGATGGAAGAAGCAGTTTTACTCTATCATA